CAAACAGAATAAACAGAATAACAACAGCCTACCAAATTACAAGCAAACCAGCATACAAATCTTCCCTTTTTACTAACCAAAGTGTTTATACACACACACATATCACCAAACAGAATAACAACAGCCTACCAAATTACAAGCAAACCAGCATACAAATCTTCCCTTTTTCCCTTCCTAACTAACCAAATTCAAGAGAAAACAGAGAAGCACCACAATAATGTAGTCAACCAAACCACACAGAGAAACACAAAACCACACAACAGACTAAAATCAGTTTTCTGGATCAGTTTTAGCACAACACACAGATGTGCACTTCCTCCATGCAGTAAATACTCTCCTCCTGAATAATTGATATCGCCTGCCCGTTCGGGTTACTAAATTAAGTGCTGTGTGGTGTTGCAACGGCTCTGACATCAAAAGGGCCTGTTATACAGATGCTGAATAAGGTCCTGCGCAGCTCAGAAAGAGGTTTGGAGAATCATTTTCACTATTATAACCGCTTCCGAAATCTCAGATGCTCTGTTTACATTGTTCTCCCAGACAAATGTCAAACAAAATACTATAGTTAGTTACAGAAATGGTACTTAGCCACAAAAAAAATAAAGATTCTAAATGCATAATTCAGAATTGTATCATTTATTGTGATTTTACAGTAACAATTTTTTGCTGTTTTCAACTTATTCATAGAGCATGTTCATGAACAAAGTAAGAATCGATTCAAGCAAACAATCACAGCAACACGTTGTTTTAACAGCAAAACATTTGATCCTCTACAGCTACGTGTCATTCAACACCTGCCCTAAACATTTGCATTTCTTCTCCACCTCTGAAGTTTGTGCGGCCCTGAAGGAGGAGCGATGCGAAGTTGATTCATTTGAACAAATCGATTCGTTCGGATGCTTCGTTTTGAAGAACCGATTCAATACAAATCATTCGCCGACTCGTTTGAGTTAAGATACTGAGATCAACATTCCAAATAAACTAGATCCCAACAGATATGATTTTGAGTTGTTTTCGAGTGTTTTTCTTTTTTTAATTTTTAAAATATTTATTACATTTTTTTTCTACCATGTTAATGCCCCGTTTTTGAACATGTACACAACATGTAGCTAATTTCATCGAATTAATAATATTAATATTCAGAATAATATTCAGAGCTGGGTAGTAACTGATTACATGTAACCTGGTTTACGTCATCAGATTCCAAAAATTAAGTAGGCGTACTTATATTACATTTTAAAATGCTCGTAATCAGACTACATGATTACATATTACTTACACAATAGCAATAATTTATTCTATATAATGTGTTTATACACACACACATATCACCAAACAGAATAACAACAGCCTACCAAATTACAAGCAAACCAGCATACAAATCTTCCCTTTTTCCCTTCCTAACTAACCAAATTCAAGAGAAAACAGAGAAGCACCACAATAATGTAGTCAACCAAACCACACAGAGAAACACAAAACCACACAACAGACTAAAATCAGTTTTCTGGATCAGTTTTAGCACAACACACAGATGTGCACTTCCTCCATGCAGTAAATACTCTCCTCCTGAATAATTGATATCGCCTGCCCGTTCGGGTTACTAAATTAAGTGCTGTGTGGTGTTGCAACGGCTCTGACATCAAAAGGGCCTGTTATACAGATGCTGAATAAGGTCCTGCGCAGCTCAGAAAGAGGTTTGGAGAATCATTTTCACTATTATAACCGCTTCCGAAATCTCAGATGCTCTGTTTACATTGTTCTCCCAGACAAATGTCAAACAAAATACTATAGTTAGTTACAGAAATGGTACTTAGCCACAAAAAAAATAAAGATTCTAAATGCATAATTCAGAATTGTATCATTTATTGTGATTTTACAGTAACAATTTTTTGCTGTTTTCAACTTATTCATAGAGCATGTTCATGAACAAAGTAAGAATCGATTCAAGCAAACAATCACAGCAACACGTTGTTTTAACAGCAAAACATTTGATCCTCTACAGCTACGTGTCATTCAACACCTGCCCTAAACATTTGCATTTCTTCTCCACCTCTGAAGTTTGTGCGGCCCTGAAGGAGGAGCGATGCGAAGTTGATTCATTTGAACAAATCGATTCGTTCGGATGCTTCGTTTTGAAGAACCGATTCAATACAAATCATTCGCCGACTCGTTTGAGTTAAGATACTGAGATCAACATTCCAAATAAACTAGATCCCAACAGATATGATTTTGAGTTGTTTTCGAGTGTTTTTCTTTTTTTAATTTTTAAAATATTTATTACATTTTTTTTCTACCATGTTAATGCCCCGTTTTTGAACATGTACACAACATGTAGCTAATTTCATCGAATTAATAATATTAATATTCAGAATAATATTCAGAGCTGGGTAGTAACTGATTACATGTAACCTGGTTTACGTCATCAGATTCCAAAAATTAAGTAGGCGTACTTATATTACATTTTAAAATGCTCGTAATCAGACTACATGATTACATATTACTTACACAATAGCAATAATTTATTCATAATTTATTGAATTTTTTTATTGAAAAATATAATTTTCCTTGACATTCACACAGAGATCAGACACTAGTCAGCATTTGACCACTGGATTTACAAAAATCATTTCAGGTTTAAGGTGTTTCAACATTGCATCAACTACTGATGAACACATTATTTTTTATTTGAATTATCACTCAGTCGGTTACTTTAGCATGTGGAAGGCATTTGTCTTTCAAACACATTAAAATGCACAAATTCACCAACTGTTTTGTCATCTTTCACCTAATATATTTTTATCTGAGATTTTAAAATAAATATTTCAATAATTAAGCATCACTTTTGAATGTTCAAGGGATATTTCACCCAAAAATGAAAGCTTGATGTTTATCTGCTTACCCCCAGGGCATCCAAGATGTAGGTGACTTTGTTTCTTCAGTAGAACACAAACGAAGATTTTTAACTTTAACCGTTGCAGTCTGTCAGTCATATAATGCATGGCAATGGTAACAAAATCTATGAGAGTAAAAAAAACATGCACAGACAAATCCAAATGAAACCCTGCGGCTCGTGACGACACATTGATGTCCTAAGACACGAAACGATCGGTTTGTGCCAGAAACCGAACAGTATTTATATCATTTTTTACCTCTAATACACCACTATGTCCAACTGCTTTGGGTGTGCCCACGGCATCCACACGTGAGACACATCTTGGATGCCCTGGGGGTAAGCAGATAAACATCAAGCTTTCATTTTTGGGTGAACTATCCCTTTCATGGTTCTTTGACGTTGGTTGTGGTCACATGATATGCAGGTAAACAAATAAAATATAAAATTTTTTCAGTAAGTGTTTTATTTTGATTCATTTTAAAATTATTTGTTTTAATTTAACATTTTTATGATTTAATTAATTATTAGCTTTAAACCCCGTGCAGCTCCTTGACGTAATATACGTTTAATGCACTTCATGTTGTTGATAACAACAAATGGAATATTTTGAATTTTTATGTCCATATGGTACTTTGATTAAACTGTTTAAATCAATGTGATAGACGAGTTAGGTCAAAAGTAATCTAAAAGTAATCTGATTACATTACCTAAACCGTGTTATGTAACTGATTACGTTACTAACTACATTTCGTCATGTAATTTGGAATCAGTAACGGACTACAATTTGTAAGTAATCTACCCAGCTCTGCTAATATTACATATAATTATATTCAACGATATTACTGTCTGACATCGTCACTATAACCCGTTTCGTGAGTGTTCACTTCGTTTTCTAATGTTTGTAAAACGCAATTTCGACCAAATTGGCCGTTTTGACTGTATTTAGTGGTGTGATTGATATTTAGACCGTAATTGTGTTTGTTTATTACCTGACAGACAATATTGGGGTGTTGTTTAGTTGCAAGGGTAGTCTGAAAAGTTGCTAAATTTAGCAACAAAATTGCTAAATTGGCAACACCGTTTGCAAACGCTTGCGATTGAATCATTCAGAAGAATCGGTTCAAACGAACGATTCGTTCACATCAGCCACTGCAGCCAGAGCCAAACCCCCGCCGCCCGTGCAGACAATGGAGGAGCGGATCTGATCTCATCGGGTGTACCGACAAACATGCTGCTCGATCAAGCCCGCTTTCCCCGCAAAATCACCCGAACGACCGACTAATTGATATGTGAACCGAATCAGGTAACGCGGTTTATTTATATGTATGCGTTGCGTTTGCGTTTCCGGTTCGGTCAACTGTCACTCGGGCCGTGTTCCGAAACTTAGCGAGCTGCCTACGTAGACAGCACTCTGGGGCATTATAGTTTCAAATCAAAATGTGCTGTTTGCTTAGACACTATTTTAAGGCATAGCAGACACAGAAACATGTTAGCTGCCTACTTAGCATTGCCCATAGCATCTTTGTCTTGAATCTAAGTGCGCTATCTACTTAGCGAGCGGAGTTAGAATTTGAGACACCGCCACAGTCCCGCATTGCGGCCTGCTACAGTGTACACAAAGCTCTTTAATACTAACTATTCGATGACTTTGAAGAAATGCTGATCGATGATTGACAGCTGTCGTGTGTTTGTTTTGAAGCGCTCGCTGTCTGATTGATTCGCGCTAAAGCTGGGAAAACGTCCAAAACTACTGCAGATGTAATATTTTTGCCTGGTTTATTTACAAGCAGGGAAGGTAATTCTGGTTTTTGCTCATCTATTTGAACGTTTGTAGCAATACATTGTTGGTTTTAATCCCAGTCACCGTTATCTTAGCTAGCGAGCTGCTAATAGACTGTAGCCTTTCGCCCTCTGGATAAAATGAGTGTAATTTGCATGTAAATTGTCTAAGGGCGTAAAATGAATATGTAAACGTGAATGTGGAAGTTTGTGTTAGGATTTAAAGCTTCATTGACTCGTGTCCGATCGCTTAGCACAGAGGCTAACAAACACAGCGGCTACGGAAGTCCAATTGAAATTGTGTGAGTGTGTGTGAGAGAGAGAGAGAGAGTGTGTGTAAAATTTTTTACACATATATATATATATAAATAAATACATGCATATAATAATATTAATACATACATTAGTATTAATGTATCTCTTGTGCTATGTGTATTTCAGTCTTTATTCTGTGTAAGAGATAAGCAGTGTTATTCCTGAGGGTTTGAGATCCATTTGGCGTGGCTCCATGTTTAAAGTTTTTGTTCTAATATTAGCAGACCGCTCGCATTGTGTGTAGATTAGAAGAAGGACGAGACTCGTGGGGAGCGTCTGCGTAATATCAGGGTTGGGAGGTTTTTCAGTAATTGGTTAGATTCGGCTTTGTTGGTCTTCTGTTTAGTGAGATGAAACTCACTGATAGTTCCTGGTGTCAGATGAGCTCAGGATCAGGTGATCGACACACAGGACGTTCTGTGATGTTGTCAAAACACCGTCCTGCATGGTTTGTCATCACTTCTCTGTGTGACAGCAGACACTGATGTCTGATAAGAGGAAGCTTGTTATGAAACAGGACGGGTGGCTCATTTTATAGCTCAGTAATGGTATATGTCATAATATAGCTTTATTTACTGAAAATTATATATATATATATATATATGTATATATATATATATTAGGGCTGGGCGATATAGCTAAAAAATGTATCAACGATATGATGTTTCATATCGTTCGGTATAGATAATTATTGACATTTTTTAAAAGAAAATGCAATAGAACATTTTTTTTTATTTAACCACTGTATTTATAATTAACACAATCTGAGACAAAAAAAAAAAATTTTTTGTTTTAACAAACACAATAAAAATTAAACAAATATCTCATTTCTAGGGATGTAACGATTAACTGCGAGCGCGTTGAAAATCGATTCAAATATGTAGGTATGATGACAAAATTTTCAACCACCCCTAAACTCAAAATTGATCACATGACTAGACAGATTAGAAAATTCTCTTTACAAAGACACCTGGATTGTGAAAATCAGTTGAGGATTGAGAAAGTTATGATATTTATAATATTAGGGATTATACTAAAATGTTATACATTAATTACAATAGAAGGTATGTGACCGAAAATGCTCATTATTCACATCTTTTTGCTTGTAACTTTCTCATTTTATCAGATATTTGCATGAAATTTAAACAGAAGGTAGAATTTTGTTTGTTAATAATTAATAATAATAATAATAATTTATGCATTTAGCAGACGCTTTTATCCAAAGCTACTTACAGTGCATTCAGGCTATACATATTTTACCAGTATGTGTGTTTCCTGGGAATTGAACCCATGACCTTTTGCGTTGCTAACACAATGCTCTACCACTGAGCCACAGGAACACTAAAGTTATATGAACTATTGTTACACTAAATGGCATTTTTGTGGGTGTCTTCTGTTTGGTGCTTGAAAACCCTTTATCATCTTTGACCTATATGCATGTGTGTGTGTGTGTGTGTGTGTGTGTGTGTGTGTGTGTGTG